GTATAAGCCAATCTATAAGATCTAAATATGGTTTTTAACAGAAGAGTAAACAACCTGAAGCCATAAATCATGGAATCTGGAGCCACAATGAGCATTACCCACAGGCACCCATGATGGACATGGATCGTGATTAAATGTGTCATTATATCATGATTCAAATGCTGTGATTTGTTTTTGTATATGATATTAGCACATGATTGGAAAGGGTGGGCTTTGCGGTTTTGATGTCCCCACTCTTAAATCATTGTATCTAAGAGCAGATGCCTATGGCACCACCACTTTCAATGGCAACCAGTCTTATCTGCTACCAAGATCGGAGCACCAGGGATAGAGCACAGCAATCATGAGCAAGACTGCCAGAATAAAGAGGCTAAGCCTTTCACTACTTTCTACTTCAGACTCTGCTACTGTACTCAGTAGAAGTAAAATAATCTGCAAGCAACATTGTCAATCTCTTCTGAAGATCACCTTGGTGATCTGGTGAATGAGTATTAAGTATATACCTGAATGGATCACAGCCTTTGAGAAATCAAAAGACAGAGCATATTTAGAATTCCCCACTCAATTCTTTTTTTCATTGACCCCTATGTCAAAGCCATACCATCACCACCATCCCCAGTGTTTTTGGCTAACTGAAATTTAAACACCAAATTAATTCTTGGGAGTGATTAACTTTACCACCTTGAATGGAAAAGATCAACTCACTTAATTATTTCAAATACTAAACCATAATTTGAATGGAGCCCCTTCCATCTCTGAGAACTGGAACTGTTACTCCAATTCTTCTGTCGAAAAAATGCCCCCAGTATGGGCATAAAGATCAATGAGTGTACACATATGAAACTCCTGACCTAGCAACTAGTACATGTTTAAAACTGAAATGGTCTTAATACATGTCTTAAAGTCCTTTCTTGGTACAAAGCAGAATGCTGCTGTTTACTTTAGCTGCAGAGTGCATGCTGTATTAGGGGTATGTTTTGATACTAGTTATCTTTAAATTAAAAAGCCAGTTTAATGTAATGGTTACATTCTTACATCCTAGTTTTTCCTTAGGTATGAAAACCAGTTGGATGCCTTTGAGTCAGTTGCTCTCTAGCCCTAGACTAGAAAATTGAAAGTACATGCAAACCACTTCCAAAAACTGCATTGGACCTGCATGGATGTACAGTCACCAGGTGTTAAGATTGATTCAAAGATCCCTAACAACAGCATTTACCACATTTGTTTAAATCTGCAATGAATTTTTTTAAAAACACATTTATAAAAGGTAGATGACTAAATTGGCCAATTCCTGAATTCCAGCTTTTGTTAATAAAAGACAATATGGCCAATGGCTAAACTGATGGGAGAAGATATTCAGCAGTCTCTAGAGAGCCATTCTGCTTCTCTACATCTGGTCCAAACTCTTGCTGCAAGGGAAACAAGATATTTTTATTGAAGAAATAAATAAGAAACAAGGATGCACAGACATTCTTATTTAAAAAAAATACCTCAGCAAAATTCTGGCAGATCTTGATATAGCTCAGGTAGTACATTCTTAAAGGGATGAATAATTGGATAATTTTCATTATCTTCCAAGTTTGCTTTGCTGTTCCACCATTGTCATAATTCTGATCAAATATTCTAGGACATGTAATGCTTAATGGCAAAATAAAACATCTTCATAGATTAAGAATGTTTACACATGACTGGCCAGAGCAACTGATTAATAACTTTTACAGCTAGTTATGAAAATGAGATTACAATACTTGTAAAATTAACACTGCATTTCTAATTCTCTAGCCTCTGGACAATTTGCAAAACAGGCAATTGAGCCATTCATAATTTACTAGCACATTTCAGTTTCCACTTTTAATTTTCAGTGGTGCATCTTTCTGAGTCATCCATTACAACTGTACCATTAAACAGGTACTGAGGTTTTATTTATTTGCATTATTCCCTTCCACCATTAATGGCTTGGTAAACTTTATAAAATAATTTTTTGCTACTGCTGCTTTCAAAACATTGAACAAGATCAGTATTGCTTTTTGCAACAATTTGAATAAATCATCAACATTAATTTGCTGATATAGTATTTCTAGAAGCACAAAGCATATGGATAACTTCTGCCTCTGTACTAGGAATCTGCAACCCAAGATATGCCACATGTTTGATATACTATAAGTATGAAGAACCGGTGACTACTTGCTTTCTTAATTACATCCAGAGCTTTTCCATCTCTGGCCGACTTTATACAATAAATATTATCCAGCTTATCTTAACTTGAACTCTTAGCCTAACTTTTCACCTTCTGACTTGTACAGAACATTAGTGTAATTGTGGTGCTATCATTTCTATATTCTGGACCAGCAGGTGTTTTTGCCAATATTGTTACTATATTGCAGAACTATTACACTATTAATATTACTATCGATTGTATTGTATTGTATTGTATTGTCAACCTATTTTTTTTTCATGTGTCCCTATTTATCCCCTCCTAACTGGCAAAATGTTATATATTTTTATAGAAACCAAGCCAAAAGTTAAAACTTGGATGCAACAAAATTATTTCTTGGCAGTTAAAGAGATGTAACAATTAACCACAGCATAAATAAGCCTTTCATTACTGTTAAACATTTGCTTTGGAGAAAATGAACAACTTAAGTCTAAAAATCTTCTATATTTTTTGCAAAATGTTAAGTTATTCCAGGGACTGAGATCAGCATGATTGCATCTTCTGAATGCTGCGTACAAAGATGAATTGATAAAGAGTTTTTTATTCGTCAAATCAGCACAAATTGCCTATCAGAGATCTGTGGGGGAGTGGGTGGATGTTATCCTGCTCTAATGAAGACGGTAAGTGA